ATTTGGCTACATGTGAAGTATAGGCTAGCCTGGGTTACATGCGACCCTTCTGGAAAGGAGGGGAGGGTGTTTTAAATCACTCCGAAGTTGGTACTGAGGGTAGCTCAGCCCTTAAAGTTTGCAGAGAGTCTTGGGAGATCTGGGTCTCTAAAACACTGTTGAAAATGAGTTATAAGTTTACTGTCAACATGCAGAACAAAGAATTCACTCTGTGGGACAACTTCACAGAGTTCTGGGGTTTCTCCAGCTGCTGAGGAAGGGGTGCACTTCACAGTCCTATCAGAATAAGTTAGTTCCTACCAACAAGTTGGAAAATGCGAAGCTGTGGGTAGAACAGAGAATTCATCCTGTAGAATGACTTCTCAAGAAGAGGCAGACTGACCCATGCTGCATTCATTCTGCAGGCCTAGAATACAAACAAACACAGATAAACTTAAGGCATCATTTTAAAGGGGGTGGGTTGATTGGTTGGTTGGTTGGTTGGTTGGTTGGTTGGTTGGTTGGTTGGTTGGTTGGTTGGTTTAAAAGGTCTCATCATAGCCCAGGCTGACCTCAAACTCACAATGTAGCTGAGGGTGACCTTGATCTTCTGATCCTTCTGCCTCCTCTTCTCCATGCTGGCATTACAAGTCTGTGCTACCGTGTCCACAGCAAGGATCCCCAACTGCACATGTTGAGAACCTAGTGGTGGGCAACACCCTCACCTGTTTTGAATGAGGTTCCTGGGTCCCTTTCATGAGTCCATAAGAGCTACCTCTATGGTCAGACTGTGGTGAAAGGGCCGTGGTCTTCAAGGATGGGGCTCTTCCAGGCCACTGAGAAGGTCTGTCTAGGATCAGCTGACCTGGCAGTGGGGAAAAGAGGTGCCTGAAGAGAAAAGGACACTAGGCCAGGCTTGAGCTTCTGAAACTCCAAAGCCCACCCCCCAGTGACATACTTCCTCCAATAAGGCCACACTTCTGATGTTACTCCCTGTGAGTCTATGGGGACCATTTTCTTTTTTCTTTTTTTTTTCCCTTTTTTAAATTTTTTTTTGTATAAATTTCTTTTTCATTTTGTATACCAACCACAGTTCCCCCTCCCATCCCTCTTCCCGCTCCCCGAGACCCCCCAATCCCCCCAATCCACTCCTCCAAAAGGGTAAGCCCTCCCATGGGTAGTCAACAAAACCTGGTACATTCAGTTGAGGCAGGATCAAACCCCTCCCTGCTGCATCAAGGGTGAGCAGGGCAGCTTACCATAGGGAATGGGCTCCAGAAAGCCAGCTTATACATAGGGATAGATCCTGATCCCACTGCCAGGGGTCCCTCAAACAGACCAAGCTACACAACTGTCTCCCACATGCAGAGGGCCTAGTTCAGTCCCATGCAGGCTCCACAGCTGTCAGGCTAGAAGTTGTGAGTTCCTGAGAGCTTGGTTCAGTTGTCTCTGTAGATTTCCCCATCATGATCTTGACCCCCATTACCCCCGCCTTGCTCACATAATCCCTCCTATCTTCGACTGGACTCCTGGAGCTCAGCCTGGTGCTTGGCTGTGGATCTCTGCATCTGCTTCCATCAGTTACTGGATGAAGGTTCTATGATGACAATTGGGGTAGTCACCATCTGATTACAGGAGAAGGCCAGTTCAGGCACGCTCTCCACTATTGCTAGGAGTTTTAGCCAGGGTCATCCTTGCAAGTTCCTGGGAATTTCCCTGGCACCAGGTTTCTCACTAAATCCATAATGGCTCCCTCTGTAAAGATATCTCTTTCATTGCTCTCCTGTGGTGATAATTTGTTGTACTCTAATAAAGCTTACCTGAAGATCAGAGGACAGAACTAGCCACAGAATTAGCCATAGAGGTCAGGCAGTGGTGGCACACACCTTTAATCCTAGCACTCAGGAGACAAAGATCCAGATCCCTCTGGATCTCTGTGAGTTCAAGGCCACCCTGGACTACACAAGATTAATCCAGTCTAAAGAAACAGAGCCAGGCAGTGGTGACACCTTTAATCCCAGCACTTGAGATCTCATGCCTTCACTACCAGTATTTGGGAAGCACACACACCATTAATCCCAGCACTCAGAAGGTTGAGACAGGAAGTGATATGGCTGGGTGGAGAAAGGCATATAAGGTGAGAGGAGACAGGAACTGAGGCCCTTTTGCTGAGGACTCAGAGGCATTCAGTCTGAGGATTCATAGAGACAGGATCTTCTCTTTTTGGCTGAGGAGATGGCGAGGTGAGAAGTGGCTGTGGCTTGTTTCCTCTGATCTTTCAGCATTTACCCCAATATCTAGCTCTAGGTATTTATTATAAGACCATCTAGGATTCGTGCAACACTCTCCCACTCTGTCCCTTCCCCAGCTCAAACATCCTGTTCTATGGGGGCCATTTCACTCAATCCAACACAGCCTCTTTTCCCCACTGCCAGGTCAGGTGATCCTAGACAGACCTTCTCAGTGGCCTGGGAGAGCCCCATCCTTGCAGACCATGGCCCTTTCACCACAGTCTGACCATAGAGGTAGCTCTTATGGACTCATGAAAGGGACCCAGGAACCTTATTCAAAACAGGTGAGGGTGTTGCCCACCACTAGGCTCTTAATCCCAGGGTCTGATCCTCCTGCCTCCCGTTCTCCATACTGACATTACAAGCCTGTGCTACCATGTCCACAGCAAGGATTCCCAACTGCACATGTTGGGTCGTGGGTTCATGCCCCACGTTGGGTGCCAGATATAGTGAGAAATCCAAGGGAGTCTGTTTAAGGGGTATAATCAATTTATCAGGACATAAATTGGAAAAGACAACTCATTAAACAGAATAGGCAAATCATCGCAGGGGTCCAGAAGGCTGAGGTCCTGTCCCACACTGTTCTGCCAATCCAATTCTGTACCATCCAAGCCCATGAAGGAGAGAAGAGAGTATTGTACATGCCTCTCAGGTCTTAATGGTAGCCCTGAGGCCACACCCCAGGGGCTGGTACTTCAAGTTCATAGGTGGAAAGGTAACCACTACAGGTTTCAGAGGAGAAGAATATTAATATGTGGCCTAAAGACTGTTATTGTGATATTTTGGTGAAGAATGTATCTGCTTTCAGCCCTTGTCTAAAATCTTGCCAAGGCTAAATTGAAGAGTTTTGGTAATTGTGTTGGCAGAGGAGATTTCAAAACAGCCTAGTGTTGACTGTGTCTTGTAGTCTTATTCAGATCTATAATAAAAAGGAGCAAGCTGAGCAAGGAAAAAATACTAAATGTATAATTTGAGGAGAAAAGGGGTACCCAGGGAGTATAAACAGTTTAAAGAAAAGACTCATGCTAAGTGCAATAAAGGGAGTGGTGATCTCAGAGAAAGACCACACCCAGCTAAGCTTCCAACTTATGAAAAGGAATTGAAGAAAAGCTTAGGGCCAGGTGTAGTGGCCCATGCCTTTAATCCCAACACTCAGAAGGTAGAGGCTGGCAGTTTGAAGCTGGCCTGGTCTATACAACTAGTTTCAGGACAGCCAAGTTTAAGCAGTGAAGAAAACCATCGGTAACAGAAACCTGGTGAAAATGTATTTGAATGAGGTAACCGTGTACTGCCCCAGCAAGCAGCAGAACTTGGAGGCATCAGCCAGTGGTTCTAAATTTAAAGTCCAGGATAGAAGAGATGGGTTATGGAATCTTCCTCTGCAACTAGGAAAGCCCCTGAGGCCAGGCATGTGTCAGGGGTGCCCCTACATGGAGGCCTTTGTGTGAAGCTGTGAAGGTGAAGCCTGGATTGCCTTGGAGACCCCAAGATGTTGGAGATGCCAGAGTCATGGGATACCTGCCGAGGAGAGCTGCTGACAGGGAGTGGAACCAGCCTAAGAGAAAGAAGTGTTACAGTCAACAGAGCTGAGAGGAGTTGGAGATAGCACTTTGACATCAGACATGGAGATGCAGAATTTTTGGCTTTCAGATTTGCTTTGGTCCAGTATTTTCTCACTGTGCTCCCTTCCCTATGTTTTGGAATGGCAATATATATCCTGTGCCAGTGTATGTTGGAAGTATGTGATCTGGTTTTTTATTTGATTTTACAGGGTTTACAGGTAAGAGATTGCCTTGTGTCTCAGAAGAGACTTTGAACTTTGGACTTTAAAACAGTGTAGAGACTATTATAGACTATGGGGACTTTTGAAGTTGGACTCAATGTGTTTTGCATTATGACATGGCTACAAGCCTATGGGGGCAGAGTTTTGTTCTAGCCTATTATTTCTGACCACTAGATCTCACCCTGGAGCATTAATTACTACCTGTGGAAATTTGACAGCTTCCCCCTCGAAGGAAGACAGCAGAACAGCTTCAACTTCTTGGACCACCTTGCAGGACCAGAACATAGATAAAGATGGCTAGGTCATACATTGGCCCAAGACTGCTCCCTCCCACCAGTACTGGGGATTGAACCTTGGGCTGGCATGTGTTTCTAACGACTGGGCTGCCTCTTGTTGCCTGTCCCAGTTCTTCCTCTACTTAAACCTAAGGCACATGTCAGTACCCTGAAGACAGGCTATGCGGTTCACTGGATCCCTTTATCTTTTCCTCATTCCAGTATGCCACACTGACTAAATCTATTCTCGTTGCCTGTCTTCTTTTATTATTTTTGAGATGTGGCCTCATGTCGCCCGACTGACCTCAAACGTGCTATAATGCTGAGGGTGACACTGAACCCCTAATCTTCCTTCCTCCACCTGCTGAGTGCTGGGATGGCAGGTGTGCACCACCATGCACCGCTTATGCAGTGCTGGGAGTCAAACCGAGGGCTTCATGCGCGACAGACGAGCGCTCTACTAACTAAGCTACATCCCCAGTACAATTGTGCCCTTAGCTGGTATTTGGGTGTTGGAGAAGGAGGCCACCCTAGCCTTAGGATTCCCGGGACTGCCCGCACCCACACTAGACAGCCCCAGGGAGGCTTCCAAGTGGCCGGCCCCGCCCACCCATCCCACACGTGCTCTCTGCGGTCATTTCCGGCTCCCGCAGGAAGTAAGGTACCGCACTCCGGAAGCGGCGCGCGGACGGTGTGATGGCGGCGGCGGCGGCCGTATCCGAGGCCTGGCCGGAGCTGGAGCTGGCGGAGCGCGAGCGGCGTCGCGAGCTGCTGCTGACCGGGCCGGGGCTGGAGGAGCGGGTGAAGGCGGCCGGGGGACGGCTGCCGCCGCGGCTCTTCACGCTGCCGCTGCTGCACTACCTGGAGGTGAGCGGCTGCGGCAGCCTGCGTGCGCCGGGGCCCGGCCTGGCTCAGGGCCTGCCGCAGCTGCACAGCTTGGTGCTGCGGCGCAACGCGCTGGGTCCCAGCCTGAACCCGGAGCTGGGGCCGCTGCCCGCGCTGCGCGTGCTCGACCTATCGGGCAACGCGCTGGAGGCGCTGCCGCCGGGCGAGGGCCTGGGCCCCGCCGAGCCTCCCGGGCTGCCTCAGCTGCAGAGCCTCAACCTCAGTGGCAACCGCCTGCGCGAGCTGCCCGCCGACCTGGCGCGCTGCGCCCCTCGCCTGCAGAGCCTCAACCTCACCGGCAACTGCCTGGATGCCTTCCCCGCCGAGCTCTTCCGACCAGGAGCTCTGCCCCTGCTCAGTGAGCTTGCGGCTGCCGACAACTGCCTGCGGGAGCTCAGTCCTGACATCGCGAACCTGGCTTCGCTCAAGGTCAGATGGGGCCCAAGGGGTGGGGAACGCGTCCCTCCTTGGAGGATGCCTTTGCCTCCGCAGCCAGTCTATCCCAGATCGCTTCTCAGACCCTCGTACTCAGGGGTCTCTGGACGTGTGACAGTTTTAAAGTTGTTTTCAAACTGGGTCTTCTTATGTGGGAAGAAGTCCAAGAGCAGGGAGCCAGGTTCTAGTTCTTTTATGTGTAATTGTAACTGATCGGGTTTCCAAATGGCGGTACATCCAGAGAAGGCACAAAAACGTGAGAGAACTGGAATTGGCGTTGTACGACGGATTGAGGTCTATACAGTATTCACCCTAACAACAGCCTTGAGAGGTCGGTCCGGGTCGGGGCTTCCGTTTCATAGAAAGCTGAAGTGCTTACCCAAAGCCAACTCTAGGTGTCTAGAGTTTTTCCGCAGGACTGCTTTGTGTAGGTGACTGGTTTCTTGTGCTTTTGTGGATCCAGGCTCCCTCCAATGCTTGATGCCCATCTGTTGAGTGAGGGATGGGAAGGCAGAAGATGTAGAGCCACAGCCAGACCTAAGTCCAGTCTGGGCTCTCCACAGTTCCCCCCCTCTATGTGCATCCTTGACAGGGCAAGCCTGTATCTTCTCCTGCTTCTTATCCTTGAGTTTATGCAGACCTTTCCTAGTGAAGGTATATCGACATAGCAGATGGATTTGCAAGGAAATTTGCTCTTGAGAGATCGAGCTCACTTTGCAGTTATTCCTGTATGTCTAGTTAAAGACTTGGCTGATAATATGTTCGTTTTCTCTCTCTCTCTCTCTCTCTCTCTCTCTCTCTCTCTCTCTCTCTCTCTCTCTCTCTCTCTCTCTCTCTCTCTCTGTATGAGAAATGGACCAGCTACTCTGCAGAATACCTGTTTTTTGGCATCTCCTGGAGGAGGCTGTGGGAGTGACTCCCTTAGATGCCTTGGACCTCTAGGTCATAGGCATCCCTATGGCTTAGGTGGGATACAAGCTGTACACTATGCCTTCCTATGTAGTAGATTGTAAAGACTTTTCTCTGTCCCGCCCTGTCCCATAGCTGGAGACTTATATTAATTATAATATAATTATATTCACTCAGAGACTTATAAATTATAAATGCTTGGCCAGTAGCTCAGGCTTATTACTAATTAGCCCTTACATTTAAGTTAACCCATTTCTGTTGATCTCTGTGTCACCATGTGGCCTGTGGCTTACCTGTGTTCTAATACATCTTGCTCCTTTGGAGGCAACTGGTATCTGCCCTGACTTCACCCTTCTTCATCTGTCTTCAGATGATAGTCCCACATAACCTTATTCTGCCTCACCATTGGCCATGCAGCTTTATTTATCAACCAATGGGAGAACACATTCACAGTGTGCGGAAAGACCATTCCACAGCAGTAGATGTTTTGGTTTTCCGGGAGGACTGATGATTGCTACACCATGGCGCCTCTCTTTGTACCAACCACTGGCCTGTGTAGGCTCCACCGATTGATTCAGCTGCCTTTGCTACCAGTCACTTGGGTTGCTGTTCGGCTGCTCCTGGGCCGAGCTGACTGCCTGTTGTCTACATGTCATCCATCTTCCTGGAGCCCTTCCCTCTTCACCTGGCAGCTCACAGCAGAGTTGTCAGGCTGCAAGGCTTAGCCTCTTGGCACTAACCCACATTCCACTGGTTAGGAAAGCAAAGCCCAGTGCAGGCAAGGATGTGGACACAGAAAGCCTGCTCGAGGAGGCCCAGGACAATGGCACTACGGCCTCTGCGTATCTCCTCACTTCCAGAAACGAGAATCAAATGCAGGTGCCTTGGCAGTGGCCCCACACCAGCTTGAGGGGCTACCAACAGGACCACAAAGCCATATAGTTCCTCAGCCCTAATGGAGAACAGTAGGAACACTCTTTGAGTCTGCTGTTTAGGCATCTGGGGCAAGGAATGCAAGGAGCAGCTGGCCTTCCTCTGCTGTCCTTTGCCTCCCCTGTTGACTGTGCTTATTAGGGTATGGACTCATGCTCTGCCTTAGACCTGTGTGGCTTGGTTTCCCTTTGGGGGAGACCTGTGAACCTAGAGTCATATCCATTCTCTTCTTCTGGGGTTCTGTGGCCTCTTAGGAATCATGCCAGGGCTGTGGTAAGCCGGGGAGGATTATGTGACATCACTCCAGCCTATTTCTGTAGTGTCTGTCAGCCAGACCTGCGCTGTTCTCCTGTTGGAGCCCACTAGGTTTCCTAGTGGCTGTACCCAGAAGGATTGCATAAGAGGTTGATTGGACCATGGGCCTGAGTACCAGGTGTTTGGAAGGCTCTACACCTGGCTGTAACTAGCAAGGGGGAGGTCTTTTGCCCCTCCCCTTGGCATCGTTATAAATAGCCCTTTAGAATAAAGTTCTGGGCCAGTGGATAAGGATCCAGGCCCACCCGAAGCTATCCTGCATTTTTCTCTGTTTCTCTCCCCTCTTTATTTCTATCTAAGTTTCTTAACTCTCATTCCTCAAGAGTCCCTGGGGTAAATAAATGTGGGAGCTGGTCTCCCATACTCTCCAGTTGAGACTGCTGAAGTAGACAGAACAGCACCTTAGTCATCAAAGACATCCCCAGGGAGATTCTTCTTGGCTAAGGATTGGTCCCTCCCTGTAGCTCACACAGGGAACAGACAGCTGTCTCTGACAGGAGAATCTGGGGTAAACAGATCCTTCCCAGTCTTTGAATCTCATTGTTGTCAGAAGTAGCCAGATTCACCTGGGGGACCTAGTAAGTCCAGATTCGTCCAGAAGCCGTTGCCATGTTGTGGTTTCTGAGATTGAGGTGGTCCCTTGTGTGTCTCCCACAGACACCATCTCACATCGCCCTCACCACTATGTTGTGATCCCTTTCCTAGCAGGTGTCTAATGCAGAGTTGGCCCTGGATGTCACTGTACTGGGTAGGGTTTGTGTTCCTGGGGATGCTCTGGTGTCAGAAGTTCAGCACATCCTGCAAGGCATCCAGATGCCCCAAGCACAACCACTCACAGCTTCCCCTTGGCACTGGGAGCACATCTACCCTTCGTCAGCCTTCTATTGTTACTTTCCACACAGGAGGGCCCCAAATGCTTCCCATCACAGCTGGCACCCGGGCTCTACCCCCATGACAAGGTCTCTCTCCAGGCACTGATAGCTGGCTGAACATGAACGAGCATCACCTTTCTCACAAGGACGCTTCGCCCTGTGGCTCTGTGCGGCAGGACCCGTCTGCTTCTCTCTGACTTACTCTTTTTGCCTCTGTCCTGTCCTTGTCAGGTGGTGTCCCTGAAAGATGCCCCTCCTTGTTGCTCGAGTTTTCCTGCCTGGCCCACAGTCAGGACAAATCTCTCTCACCCACCAGTCCCACAGCCGCTCAGACCCGACCAAGTAAACACAGAGACTTATATTGGTTACAAACTGTATGGCCGTGGCAGGCTTCTTGCTAACTGTTCTTACAGCTTAAATGAATCCATTTCCATTAATCTATACCTTGCCACGTGGCTCGTAGCTTACCGGCATCTTCACATGCTGTTTGTCATCATGGCGGCTGGCAGTGTCTCTCTGACTCAGCCTTCCACTTCCCAGCTTTATTCTCCTCCTTGTCCCGCCTATACTTCCTGCCTGGCCACTGGCCAATCAGTGATTTATTTATTGACCAATCATCAACACATTTGACATACAGACCATCCCACAGCACCTCCTCTAATGACTGTTTCTGAGGCGGTGCTGGACACTCAGCCCTTCCACTGTCCCCCGTCTGCTTGTTGCTCTCCCAGGTCTTCAGTAAATTGCATTTCAACAGTGGAAACAGAAACATCTCATTCAACCCAGTGTTTGAGAAGTGCGTTGTCCTCCCAGTGTGTCCACGCACGCCCACAGGGCTGCAGACAGACGGCTGCCAACTGACAGTCAAATAAGGCCTGCACCCAGTCTCAGGCTTCCAGGGGCCCAGTTCCTCTGGGCTAGTGACCCCACAGGGTTGGGAGGAAGGTACAGGCTTTGGCAGTCAGGCTCAGACCCAGCACTTGGCTCCTGATCGTGTCATAGTGGTCCTCAGAGTAGTTCCTGGGGAACCAGCTAGGTTCTGAGGGTATACTCTGCCTCCAGTGGGGAGAGACGTAGAATATAGATCTGAAATGCCCCAAACTCATCTGAGTGCTGACATGACTGCACTGTGGAACATGCCAGCCAACACTCATGAGCTTGCTTCAGGCTGCATGTATAAAGCAGCTGAGCCGTGTGCTTGACCCTGGGTTCCTTCCTGAGATACCTCATTACGTTCACACAAATACCCACATCTAAGAAATGTTAAAGCTACTGACTCTAAGTGTGTTGGTGCAGGAGCACTGTACTCAGAGGCTCTTCCTAGACACAGCCAGCAATACTGCTCATGGTGACTCCCTTGCAGGGGTGCACAGGCCAGCCTTGCGTTTATACCCAGCAGGCCTTGCTGTTGTCAGCCTCTCCCTTCTCACTGGCCCCTGTCACTATTTGTTCATGCTTTTCTCCTCTGGCTTTTATAGCTGTCACCTGCCTCGTGAGTTTCTGCTGAACTTTGGTGGTGTGTCTGAAGCCCCTTTGTGCTGTGCCTTCCCACCACAAGCAGCCTGGTGGCTTGAGCCGAGCAGATTCCTTCTCACTTGCTTCTTCCTAAGTTGAGGCTGAGAAGTTCTACCATCCAGATCAGAAGGTGTTTCTGTGGCAGTCCCTGCCCTGTGCTGTTGTCTTCCTGTGTCCATGCCCCGTGCTCCTAGGACTCAGCTGCCAGACTACGTCTGAGTGCTTGCTGCAAGGCACCTACATGGTTTTTCTGAGTGCAGAGGTGAGGTGTCACACCCGTGGTGGCTGTAGACCTCGCCCAGGCTCTTCTGAAAAGATGCTTGATGTGAGAGCCAAGAACAAGGCAGACCAGAGTCCCCCCAACCCTGAGAGAAGTGCTTATGTATGATTCTCACAACCGCTTCCAAGCCAGGCTTGCAGCACAAGGCACCTGTCGACAAAGAAGCTCAGACTGATGGCTCTTCATTGCCTGTGGTAAAACACTGTCCTCTGGACAGAGCAGCTGCTTGCAAGAGACCAGATCAGGCTTACTGACTGTTGATGTCCCTCATAGGAGGAGGAGGGTTGTTGGAACTATCTCAGTCCTTCCCGGACACTTGTATGTAATTCTGCTCCAAGTGCATGTGACCTTGTGATCTGGGGAGGTGTGTAGATGCTCCATCTATTCATCCATGCTGTGATGAGATTTTCCATGGCCGCTTTGAGGTCACTCACGTTCCTGTAAGTAACCCTTACCCATGTTCTATAAGAAAGCTCATTAAAAATCGTTGGTTCCCCGAAGTGGACACTGTTGCTCCTCTATAAGGCAGGGCAGGCATTTGTTTATGTCTCCCTAGAGAAGAAATTTTTGACACCCAGCCTGCCGTTGAATGCATCCCCTCCCCCAACCAAAATGACTTTGTGGAGGCTGAAGGGCTGCACACTCTTCCCAGTGTTCAAAACTGCAGCATTTGTGCGTCAGTAGACTAGCAACAGGAAGTTCTTTTCCACGGACCACTGGGCTTTGTGTGGACAGATGGCATGGACACCATGGCCCTCCTGCCTTTCTCCAGCCCACCCTCATGAAAGAGAACAGTGGTGAGGCAGTGTTCCACTAGTGATGTCAGACTTGGTGTGGAGGGAGGGTTTGCTGGTGTTTTTGTTCATTAAATTCAAGAAATAGGGGGTGCCATTTGAGGAGCCTGTTTCAGATTGGAAGGAGTTCTGGTCTGGCCCCTAGCCTGCTGACAGACCTGAGTGTTTGCTATGGTTGTCGCAGGCCGGATGCACTGAGTTGGCCAGCCTCTGGATTGGGGGAGCGGGGGCAGTTAATGGGCTTGCAGGTACCTCATGGGGTAGCCTGGCTGTGACTCCTGGGCCTGGACCACAGTAGAGCTTGTTGTCCACCTGCCCAGACCTGGGCATCCAGCTCTTCTCTCCTTTTCACTCCAGACCCTGGACCTCTCCAACAACCAGCTGACCGAGATCCCTGCTGAGCTGGCAGACTGCCCCAAGCTCAAAGAGATCAGCTTCCGAGGGAACAAGCTTCGAGACAAGCGCCTGGAGAAGATGGTGGGTGGCTGCCAGACCAAATCCATCCTAGAGTACCTGCGTGCTCGTGGCCGTGGCTGTCGGAGCAAGGGCCGGCCAGAGGGCTCTGAGAAGGAGGACCGGAAGAAGAGGCGGGAGCGGAAGCAGCGTCGGGAGAGCGGGGAGGGCGAGGAGGAGGTAGCCGACTCAGCCAGGCTGATGCTCAAGGTCTTGCACGTCTCTGAGAACCCCACACCCCTGACAGTCAGGGTAAGCCCGGAGGTCAGGGACGTGCGCCCATACATCGTGGGAGCTGTCGTGAGAGGCATGGACCTGCAGCCAGGAAATGCACTCCGGCGCTTTCTCAACTCCCAGGTGGGCACTCAGTAGGTAGACTTGGGGGACTGCATGCTGGAGGTGGATACATGGCAGACAGACTTGGCTGCATGTTGGGGTGGGCATGCATGCAGCAGGCAGATTCGGGAGTCTGTGCTGGGTATGGAGGCTGCATGCTGGGTATACTACTGGGGCCAGCAGTCAGGTCAGGAACAAGAGGTGCAAGGTGGTGTCCATGCCTTAGTTTCCCTGGTTCAGGGTGTGGAAGGCAGGTCCTTGGTATACAGAGCACACCCGTGTCAAGGATCTGCTGGGCCTGGGCTATTGGTTTCTCCACACAGCTTTCACATGTTGCCCCACTTCAGACATGAATTTATTGATGATGTCTGATACTAGCGGGAAATTTCTGATTTCTGCAATAAAATGCAGTCTATTTTATATGAGACCATGTTAAAATTGTCTCTTCTTGCCAAGCATGGTAGCACACACTTTTAATCCCAGCAGAGGCGGACAGATCTCTGTGAGTTCGAGGCCATTCTAGTCTACATAGCAAGTTCCAGACCAACCAAGACTACACAGTGAGGTCCTATCTCAAAAATAAATAAATAAAATAGATTAATTAATAATAAATAAATGGATAATAGTAATAAGTAAAATTGTCCTTTCTCAGCAGCACATTCTCATGGGAGTTCCTGGGTCCGGCTGACTGGACCACTCCCTAAGGTTCCCTCTGGCACCTGTCTCCCTGTGGAATGAAAAGCATGTCTTTGCCTTTTGTGCCTAGCAGAGACAGGTACAGCCTTGTATAAGCAAGGCCAGAGTTGTTGTCTGAGACTCCCCTCAGCAGCTCAGGGAGGAAGCCAGTAGTTCCCCCCCCTCCCCAGCCGTGCCCAGCCTAGCAGCAGACCTGCAGTCTGTCTTATAGATGGAGTAATAGATTGAGATGAAAGTGCTTCAAACTCTGAAGTGCCATGTTCTAGAATTTAAGAGAAAGACTGCTGGTGACCAGATAAATACATAGTTGGGAAACAGGGAGGTGCCACTTTGTAGTGGTGAGCGTGCAGGTTAGGAGGGTCCTGCAGGCAGTGCACTGGCTTTGATGTGGGTGTCCCTGGACAGCAGGGACCCTGAGGCCCATTACTGTACTCTCATCTGTAGACAAAGCTCCATGATGACCTCTGTGAGAAGAGGACAGCAGCCACCATTGCCACCCACGACCTCCAGGCGGTACGCGGGCCCCTGCTGTATGCAGCCCGGCTACCCGAGGACCTCAAGGTGCCAACTGCTCTGCCCTTTCTGTCTACACTTGTGCTTTTCCTTGGGAGACTCACAGGCTGGGGGTTGGGTCTGGGAAGCAAGTGCATAAGCAACATGGTTTCTGCCTTCACTCTGGGACCCAGTGCCTGGCTGTGCAAATGCCCATCGTAAGGGAGGCCTTTGGAAGGTGCTTCCTGTGCTTATCAACTTTTATTGAGACAGGGTCTCACTCTGTAGCCTTGTCTGGCCTGGAACTTTCTGTGTAGAGAAGACTGGCCTTGAACGTACAGAGATCTACCTGCCTCTGCACTAAGTGCTGGGATTAAAGGCGTGTGCCACCATGCCTAGCTAGCTAACCAACTTTAACCAAAGATTTTGGTTTATGTCCCACTTAACAGAATACCATAGTGTGAGCTGAATCACCAGGTTGCTGCTCTGGGCTATGATTTCCAAGCTTGGATTTGGCATAGAGACCCAGGGGAAGGGACTTGGGTGCCGGGCTCAAGCAACTGATTCCTTTCTCTCCATTGGCCTTCTAAGCAGTCACATGTTTTTAGAAACACAGGTGTTTATGAACTTAGAGCTTTTGAGTATTGTACACCCCCGCTCCAGAGGGGTCTCTGGAAATGTAGCCAGCCAGTGTGTTACATGTGATGGGCCTCAGTCTCTTGCTTCCAGATTTAGAAACTTGACCACCCACTTCCCGGCTAGAGATTAAGGTAGAGAGAGGTGTACAGCATCTCTCATGCTCATAGGTGGCCTCAGTAGCACAGTGAGCTTCTGCTCCTACAGATCGTGCCCTTGGGGCGGAGAGAAGCCAAGGCCAAGGAGCTGGTGAGGCAGCTGCAGCTGGAGGCTGAGGAGCAGAGAAAGCAGAAGAAGCGGCAGAGTGTCTCAGGGCTGCACAGGTCAGTAGACTGGCAGATGCAGGAGGTCTAGATGCACACTACCCACAAATCAGTTGTACCTCAGCTCACCCCTGCAGCCACCAGAAGTGCTACATAACCAGAGGGAGAGGGACTGTCCCCAGACTTCCTTCTAAGAGAGAGTAACTACCCCTCCTGAAAGGGCCAGACTCCATTGGGGGAGGGGGGCATCCTGCTCCAGGCGTCCATTCAGGTTCTCAGTAGTGGGGTCTGGTTGTCAGACCTAAGGCCCTCTGTTGAGCTTCACCTCCCGGATCTCTGGGCAGATGAAGGTACAGGGCTAGAAGCAGCTCTGGTGTCACATCCACATACTTGGTTTTGATGTTGCTTCTGGTTGTCTGCAGAGCTTAGCCCCCGCTTGGCTTTTCCACTAGCTCACACTGTGCCTGTCACCCGGATGCCTCCCACACAGGTACCTTCACTTACTGGATGGGAAGGAAAACTACCCTTGTCTTGTGGATGCCGAAGGAGATGTGATTTCTTTCCCACCTATCACAAACAGTGAGAAGACGAAGGTAGGCAGTGTCTGAAGTGTGGACATGTCCTCTAGGCTATCCCACCATCTAGTTCCCGCTTGTGAGAGAGAGAAAGAAATGCAGCATAGAGGGCTGGGGCCCTTTGCTCCTCAGCATTGCCCACACCTGGTGCCACCCACCCTACAAAGTCACCATTGTGCTGTCCCCCAGTCTTTGCTACAAGTTCTTTGAGACAGGTTTTCATGTAGCCCAGGCTGGCCTTTAACTTGATATATAAGCTAAGAATTACCATGAACTTCTGATCCTCCTGTCTCCACTTCCCTAATGCTAGGGTTATAGGTGTGCACCGCCATGTCTGGTTTACGCAGTGCTGGGGACTTAACCCGAGGCTTCATGCACACAAGGCAAGCACTCTGCACCTCCAGCCCTGCGTAACTCTGCCTGTAGATTGTTCTTCTGAATACGTCCCAACACCAATAACCATTCTTTCCTGAAACCCGACTCTTAAGATTAAGAAAACAACATGCAACTTGTTTTTGGAAGTAACGAGTGCCACGAGCCTGCAGCTCTGTAAGGACATCATGGACAGCCTCATTCTGGTGAGTGATCCCAGCCCACGATCCTGTTTGCCGCTCTGTGGGTTACTACAACCTGGCTTCCTACGTCCCCACTTCTCCTCTTCATTAAAAAGTTATTTTCATTTGCAGAAAATGGCAGAGCTGAGCAAAAGCACTTCTGAAAATAAAGAGGAAGACGCAGTCTCGGGTACGGAAGCTGATGCCAGCTGTGGACTTTCTGATCCCAACTTGAATCAAAGAGCTAGGAAGGATGGACAGTGCCCCCTGGTGGTGGAACAGGTCCGAGTGGTGGACCTGGAGGGGAGCTTGAAGGTGGTGTACCCATCCAAGGCCGACCTGACCACCACCCCTCCCTATGTGACTGTGGTTCGCTGACAGTCCGGGCTGTCATAACTGGTTCCACTTGTGGCTCCTGTGGGTGTGCTGGCTGTAGATGTCTGTGTGGTTGTTCTTCGTTCCTTTTCTCTGGGTATTTTAAGGTGTCTGCTTCTGTCCGGGTGACTGTTATAAAGTGAGCTGTGTCATCATTACAGCACTCATGTGATCTACTGCTCTCATGGATTATTCAAATAATTGCTGGAAATGTTCTGAATCATGTGGCGAGTAACTTGGGAAAGACACAAAGCTAGGTTTACCAGTGCAGGTCTGAATTCAGGTTAAATGGCAGGTGTTCTAGTGAACGGCACTTGTTTCTCTACAACATGTTAATGGCTTTTCTTTTTTTAACACCTGTGCAAAGACAGTTGGGAACATCATGTTGTGATCTTCATCTTTTCAGAGCTTGCTTCCTAGCACAGTGTTGCTGCTCTGCCCCCAGGGCAGCATCTGCCTCCCACAGCTGTGCCCAGGCCTGGAGTGCTGGTCATTGCTGGTGCATCCGCTCCTCGGCCAGAGGTCATGCCCATCTGTCCTGTGTAGTGGGACGGATTTCTGAGAGAGTGGATGGGCAGGCTGGTTTGTGGGCTGTCGACCAGTGACGGGAAGGTGTGCCACACACACGGCCCTACGGCTTCCATCTCAGTGTGTCGTTGTACACCACCTGTCTCTCTCTGTGTATGTTGGCTTATGTACCCAGCACACCCGTCCATCCCTGGAGCCAAAGTGATTGGTCCTGAGGACACAGCCAGCTGCAAAAGGGACTTAGTGGCCCTGAGCCTTAACATCTGGCTGCAGCAGAGAACCAGGCCCTTCAGCCTTTCTGCCTGATGTCATCTTCTCCTTGGTCTTTGACCTCCAAGGACAGTTTGTCTTCTGTAGAACAACAGTGGTTTGGGTTTGTTGTTTGGGGTTTTTGTTTTGAGGCTGTGCAAGAACCTTTCGTTGTCAGAACCACTGAAGCTCCAGATCCCTTATGGCAGTGTCTGGACAAAGCTGGTAGGTGTTGGAGCTACCTCGTGACTGCACAGTCGCCGCTCATAGGTCCCTTTGAGTGGCTGTGGCAAGAGCTCAGCTATTCTGTGTGGATTCACCAAACTGTAAGGGTGGAGCTGCCCCGTGCCCACCTCCCACCCCCACCAGTTCCTGATGTTCCCTCCAGCACAGCCCATGTGTGAGATTGAAATTTTTTTTTGGAACTTTTTACAAATACAAACAGAATGCCTCTTTGTTCTAATAAAACTAATAAAACCCCTTGGTAGCAACATTTCCTCTGCATCCAGCAGCCTCCCATCTGTAGGGGATAGTGCCACAGTTCTAGTGTAGCAGACGTTCACATGTGAGAACAGCCCAAATCCCCCCCTGGTTTTGGACCCTTCTAGGGGGTCCCATGGCCTTATGATCACTTGAAGCAGCTCCCTGCCGAGTACTGGCCAGAAAGCTCCAGGCTGAAGATGCTGGACGGTTGCCAGGGGTGGGCTGGGAGCACCTTAGTTTGGAGTACAGGATGTGGCTAGATGCCCACCCCCTCACTGTCATCCCAGGAGCACAGGAATACCAAGAGAAGCCTGCATACTTCCTTTCCTCCCCACTGGAGCCCCTTGCATGGAACACACTTGATTCTCCCTGCCCCGCCTCCCCACTGCACCCCATATCCTGGCCCAGCCATGTCTGCCTTGTCTAGACACACCTGCTCCTGCCCCAAGGGCTACCAGGCCAGGGTGCACTGCTCTTGACAAGGGCCACACTAGGCCTGGAGGGGTCCTTCCCTGGAACCTTTCAGTGCCTGTCTTGCAGTGGCTCATGGCTGGGGGTGCATTCCACGGTCTTGCCTCAGTTGGGGCCTGTGAGTGTGGGCAGAGGTGTCTGTTAGAAGCGAGGCCTAGATTTCTGGTGCAGAGACCCAGGCCAGTTGGAGCAACTACTGCAAACTCTCCCACGAGGGCCACTGAAGCTCAAGACAGTCCAAACCAGAAGCTTAGGACGAGGCCAGCCGTACCAGCCCTCCCTGGCCAGACTGGCCAAGCCCCTCAACTTGCCAGTGTGATAAGAGCAAAAGGGAGGGGACTTTCCAACCTGGGAGCAATGGGTTCAGTCTTTTGGTACCCATCACCTACTATCTGGCCTCCCTTCTCTGCCCACAGACAGCAGCTGCTCCTGGGCCCTCCACCCTCTCAGCTCAGGGTGCAGACCCCTCAAGGTTTTCTAACGAATGGCCTGCAAGCCCAAGAACATTTCACGGCACACCAGGGATGAGGGGTGGTCCAGGGAGATTCTACATAGGCCACTAGAGAAGCCACAATACCTTCACGTGTTGACGGCCTTGTCCTCACATGGTCCAGTAAGGAGAGACAGGTCCAACCACATCCTAACCCTTAGGTCTATGTGTGTTCTTGAGAGATGGCCCAGCCAGGAGGGGCACATTCCAAGACAGGGCACCAAACAGGAAGAGCTGTGGAGGAGGGTCAGGCCTGGAGCAAGTCATGCCTGGCTGGGCAGCACTGTTGGAACAGTCACCCACTGTTCCTTCAGTAAACAGTGATTTGTCTACAGGCTCCTTAAGGAGTGGGGGCCTGTGAGGAGGCAGTGGGTAGGGCACCCAGCTTCCATTTTCCCTCAGGGCCATCCCTGAAGACATGCCAACTTTGCTATGTTGTATGCCAGGTGACCCACGCGTTGAATCCCAGCACTCATGAGGCAGCAGCAGGTGGATCTGAGTTCAAGGCCAGTCTGATCTACAAAGTGATTCAGGACAGTCAGGGCTACACAGAGAAACCGTCTCAAAAAAACAAAAAATGCAATGTTGTGTTTGAGAAGGCCTCTGTGCCCTGCACAGAAACAGAAACAAGCCTTCTATATGGGGCCCTGTCTGTGTCCCCTAAAAGAATAGGTAGGGGACACATCATTATTCAGGGTCCTCCCTGCACAACCAGGAATCTGGAAGGCCTAGAGGACCAGGCGCCTGGCACGATGCCACAGGGAAGAGCACACTCCTCATCCCAGCCTCAGCTAGGGACAGGCCGAGGCCCTAGGCTGAGAAAGATCCCACCTAGCATTAGCCACAGGAGTCTGGACACCCTGGGTGCAGAGCCAGCCTAAGGAGGTTCCCTACAGCTCTGCAGGGGCTGAGCCTGGTCTCCAGCATGTGTACGTCTGGTGCTGCCTGGGCTGGGGTCTTGGGTCTTGGATCCACCCTGTGTCCTGGAGATGTGGAGCTGTGCTGACAGTGCACACTGGCATCTTCATATGGAGGAGTGTCTGTACAAATGGTCTGTGTACATGGGAGGGAATCCCCAGGGGTGGGAGTGTGGCAGCTTTTATTTGCACTTGTGCACATAGTAGCCAGTGATGTAGCCCAAGATGAAGATGATCCAGAAGAGGGCCACTCCACCCAGCACCTTCATGGCGATCCCCAGCTTGCCCGAGCACAGCTTCTGGGAGATCCTAGAGTGAGAACCGCCAGTGAGCCCCAGCCAGGGCTACAGGGAGGTTCCTGAGTGGGCTTGGGTGGGAAAGGAGGGCTAGATCAGGAAAAAGCTTGAGCGGAAGTCGGAGGCCTGAGTGCTTTGCTGGAGTTGGGAGTTACCTGTCTACCCAAAGGTAAGGCCCAGAGCCATGGGTACCTGGGTGGGCTGTCATGGGGCTGGGGCTGGACAAGGCCAGTCAGTGCAGTGGGGGCCATGGCCTGCTGGGATTTTACCTCCTATAGCATGAGGCCTCCTCAGTGCTGGACCCGGCAGTCACGCTGACCTCATCCCGGCTGCTGCTGTCCCACCTGCTGTACTGGACGCCACTCTCCTGGGACTGCATGCTGCAGGCCTGAGGTGGGCTACAGCATGCAGAGTGGAGACAAAGACAGGCATCAGGCCAGACTCACTGAAGATGACCTCCAGGGGAGGGTCAGCCTGGAAGGAGGGGGCGGTACTTACCGAGATAATTAGAAATTAGCTCAGGGTCGAGTCAAAAGGACTAAGCAAAGCAGGAATTCCAACCCAGGGGGCAGGGCAGTGGCCCAGCCCTGGCCCTCAGGAATGTAAGACACTGTTTTTCCAGCTGGGGCCTCTTCTGAGGGGTGGGGGCTCTCCTCCCTCGAGGGACATTTATCAGGGGAGGCAGCCAGTGCCGCCCTCAGAGACCAGGGAAGTGTAGCTGCCAAGGACCTGATAACTGTCTTCCTCCCCGGCCCCGCCGATAAGGTCTGGAGCTGCCCTCCAAGAGAGGCTGGCAAGGGGAGGGATGAGCAGTGGATGGTGGCTGGTACTGCCAGTCCAGCCAGCCAGGGAGCTGCCTGGTAGCAGCTGTCCTCAGCCCCTCCTCCACCTGCTGCCCCTGAGAGGAGTCAAGCAGGGATTCTGGGGGCCCAGGAGCTCCAGAAGGCTGTAGATTGTAGATTAGCAGGAAGTAGGGCCACATGAGTGCCTAGAACAGGAAGGTTCCTATCACTAAACCACCCCTGACTCCCTCAGGGACAGCCATCCCCAACAGACGGCGGGTTGGGAGGAGTCGCCGTGACAATGTTGCCATGCATGGCTGCTCCTGCCTACCTACAGGCCTGCACTGGACACTTGACTAACCCTCTCATGTACCCTCTGACCTCTCCTGTTACCTCTTGTTTACCTAAGGGGAACAGGGCACACACCCCAGTACAGGCTGTCAGATAAGGATAAGGTTAGGTCTCCTGTGTCCTAGGTATCCAAGTGTCCCCTCATGGCACCCATCTCCAGGACCCTGTCTCACAGCAGCGGAGGCAATGGGAATACAGCACATCCTAGATAACCCCGTACACACTGACCCAAAGGCACAGCAGGCCAGTTGGCTACAGAAAACCTCTGCAGAAGCTCAAGATGCCAGGCTGGGTGGGTGGAAGAAGAGAGCCATCTTAACCCCCACAAGTGTCTTCGGGTGGGGCTCCAGCTGACAGCTTGAGGTGATGAGTGTTGCTGAAATGAGGGTTCTGTTTGTTGAGTACACCAGCTAGGTGTACTTCCTCTAGGTGGACAGTGGGGGTGTTGGCCCCCGGTGGCAGCCTCGCTGGGATGAGATTAATACCCCAATGCCTCCTTTGCCGTGTTACCAGCTCTGGGCAAAGTGCCGGGTGGAGCAAATGGAGGGGGAGAGCTTTTGCTTTTTCAGAGTTTAGAGCGGCCACCTCTTTCCTGCTTACGTGTGGCCGGAGCGGCTACACCACACATGCAGCCTAGATAGCCATGCAACACCAGCCCTAACTGTCTCTAAATCTACGGCAAACCCTACCCGCGTGTAGAAGGGGAGGAATGAGCAGTGGGTGGTGAGTATGAGGGTCTCCCCGATTTGTTCAAGCCTGAGGTAGTGGGATCCTGTTATTTGCCACCCATCTATGGCTGGACATCGAGCTCCTTGGGCCAGGCTCTCCTGGGCTTTGTGCACCCTAATCTGCACAACCGTCATAGACACAGTGGGAAGGGCCTACAAGGCCCCTTCAAACCCAGAGCCTCCCCTGAAGGCGTGTGCACACAGGAGTCCAACATGCGGTTGCTCATAAGACTCGTTTGCCCACAGAGCACCTCTGAGACCCCCAACTTACAAAGTCGAGTCGTGGTGGGGACTGAAGCCTCCGGAGTTCAGAAAGGCTGTCAGGGTCTGGTCAGTGGATCCCACCTTCCCCCAGCAGGGTAAGCCAGGATGTGAGGTAGGAGGGTTGGTGCCTCAAGCCTTAAAAAAAGAAAACAAAGGTGGGGAAAGGAGCAGCTAGCTAGAGGAAAGGGAGAAACTGGTTCCAAGGGTATTCCTGGGTCCCAGCAGGAGCTGGGCCGGCAGTTCCGGGCCTGATAGCCCTTGGTAGTGAGGCCGATCTAGCCCTTCCCACTCCGGAATTCTAGAGCTAGGGAAGCTCTAGCCCCGGAGGACACAGGAGTGGTAGGGGCGTGTTGCCAGTCCCACCTCCCTGGGCTGCAACGGGAAGCAGCAGTCTCTGCTGAGTGCGTCTCACCTGCGCCCCTCGCCAGGGCCGCTGCGCAAGCCCGGGACGCGTCTCCAGCCCCCTGGGTGACGAGGGCAGGGCCGGAGGTTGGGGGCGGGGTCTGAGGGGCAGGACCGAGATGAGGGGGGCCAGGCTGGGAAGGGGGCAGTGAACCGGGAAGTCTAGTCCCGATGGGGAGGGGCAGACCCCCCTGGCTGCTGGAGCTGCAGAACCGAGCGGTCTACCGGAGAGGCCTGCAGAGGGCGCCAGGTCCTTGCTCAGCCTCGCAGAGTTAGGCTGAAGCTCAGAGAAAGCTCGGTATCCAGGCCTTCTGCTCCCCAAATGGAGGACAGAGGTGGTGCTCCTGGACTGGTGGCGCCCAGTGCACCGGCGGCTGCAGGATCAGAAGAGTGTATGCACAAGATGTGGGTAAAGAGCCGCAGACGGATGAGCTTTTTATTATATTCGGCAGGGTACGTAGCACAGACTTAAGTCAAAACATCCTGACCACAGACACCAGGAGGCCGTGGATTGGGAAGAGCTGTACTCAGTACTCAGCACCTATACCACCTACCCCATCCCACTTTTTCCCCACCTTCCAATGGGGCCCCAGTAGCAAGAGCATGCCCCGGGCAGAAGTGTTGAGTCTGAAGCGCGCGCGCAGGAGTGGGGGGTTGCGGGGGGGGGGGGGGGGGGGGAGGGGGCAGTCTCTGGCCCTCTGCAAAGTGAAGCCTGAAAGAGAGGCCCTGGAGGTGTGAATCTCCCCACAAACAGGCTGTGGCCCAGGAGAGGGAGCTGTGGCATGGGACATGGCCCAGGTAGTTCAGGTGTAAAGGATGAGGTCCTGTAGGTAACCAGAGAAGATGAGACAGTGGCCAACTCTAAGGTTTAATTATCACAGAGCAGCCACACAGGTGGCTTCCCCAGCAGGGCCCTGGCCTCTGCCGGGCAGGATGCGTCCTGGGGTCCCAGCCAGGGCTACTTGGAAGCTAGCTTCTTGAGCTTGCTGGGCAGGGAGATGTCTGACTGCTGCAGCGGGGGTACCTTTACGCCTTTTTGTTTCAGCTGACTGTAGAAGTCACTTCTCTCTGTGATGATTTTCTGGACAAAAACAGCCAATGGGGTGCCTCCAGCTCCACACCTCGGTCTCCCGTCACCCACCCAGGACTTGCCGCAAGCGGGCAAGTGCAAACCAGAAACTCTGCATCTGAAGTGTGGTATCCCTGCCAGAGCTGTGGTGGGGCTGCAGAGTTGATGTCCCAGTAGGCAGGATGGAAGGAGAAGATGCACTTGTCCCAGGAGTCAGCTCACACCTGACCTTCACTAAGCCCACCCCTTTAGTCAGCATGGCACTGAAGGGAACTTACACGCCTAGAAATCAGAAGCTTCTGTTTCATCTTATGCAGAAGGCCCGGCCGCTCCCTCCCCAACCCTAGCCCTGTTCACACTCCTAGCACAGGACCTTGGGCATCTTCTGTCCTTCTGTTCCTCTTCCCTCCCCACCAGCAGACACAAGGCCAGAGGCCTGTCCCCAGGTTCCTGCCCTCCAGAGGTGGCAGTCACCCAGGCTCCCCACAAGTCCGAGGGAGATGTGGGCAATGCAATGCAAGGCCTAGACCTTGGGAACAGAGTGGCTGCTAATGAGGTGTGATCCTGTGTGGCACATGACCCCAACCAGAGCAGCCTGGTACCTCAGCGATCCCCAGGGCTCTAGTGCCCTATACCTTCAGGGTAGCCATGTTCACCCCCTTTATAATATATATATATATATATATATATATATATATATATATATATATATTCAGAGAAACACAAGCAGCTAGGATGCTGAGTGAGTGGTGATTACTCCAGTTCACAGGCACCAAAGCCTGCACCCTCAGGCTCCTCTAAAGCTTCTGCTTTGGGGGACTCTAGGTCCATAGGAGTTGGCAAGGCTGAGGTCAAGAGGGAGGAGTCTGTGCCAGGACTCTGGCCCAGCAGCTTCTATGGAGGGGGCTCCACCATAGAGAACTTCTAGAACGCAGGTAACTTGTCCCTCTCCCTGTGCAGACATGAGGGTTAGGGGCAACTGAGTGTCCCTCCTCCATGAGGCCGAGAGCAGCTCAGACTCTCCACCCCAGGGATGGTCTGATCCCCTCTGGTTGAGCAGGGAAAAAGGACAGGCCTGGAGTTACAATGTGTGGGTGACGTAACTGGGGTGAGAACTGGGTTTCTGAACTGAGCTCAGGCTCCCCTCCTCCCCCAGCCTCTGCGATGGGCAGTGGGGACACAGCTTGGGTCCCCTTCTCCCCCAGCCTCTGAGATGGGCAGTGGGGACACAGCTTGGGTCCCCTTCTCCCCCAGCCTCTGCGATGGGCAGTGGGGACACAGCTTGGGTCCCCTTCTCCCTCAGCCTCCAGCTATAGGCAATGTGGACACAGCTTAGGTCCCCTCACCTGCAGGGACTCCAGGATGTAGTTGTCCGAGAGCTCAGTGGACAAGTTCTTGGTCCCACTGACACTGAAGACAGCCTGAATGATCTTATTCCTTAGTCTCTCGAGCTGTGAACAAAGGTGAAAGACATGGCCTACTGTTACCAAGAAAGATGCCTGGCCCTGCCGCCATAAGCCCTGCAGGCCAGGAAGGTATTTCTTGCTCCTGCTTGTCATGGCTGGAAATGGAACTTGCCTAAGAGCTAGAATGTTCTGGATCAGACCCCAGTTCCTGGGTGGCCCCACATTGAAGCACAGAAGTTGTAACATGCCAACACACTTATTTTTATGTTCTTAAACTAGAAAAGTGCACTTCCTCACCAGAAGTCCACTCACTTGCTAGGAAGCTCCCCACCACTGAGATATATTCCTAGGTCTATATATGGTTTTAAAATATCAGCACAGGGCTGGAGAGATGGCTCAGTGGTTAAGAGCACTTGCTGCTCTTGCAGAGGATCTGGGTTCAGGTCCTATCACCTAACAGGACTCAGGACACACAGCTGCCTGTAACTCCATCTCCAGGGGATCTGATGCCCACTTCTAGCTTCTGTAGGCATGTAGACACAGACTCACACATGCACATTCATAAAAACATATTTTAAAAATAAAATAGTGAAACAAACAAAATATTTTTTATTTTAGTTTCTGGCTGCCACTGAAGACATCAGACTCTCTTTTGTTTATTTTGCTCTAATTTTATTTTATATGTATGGGAGTTTTGCCTGAATGAACGGCTGTGCACCAAATGCATGCAATACCCACAGAGGCCAGAAGAGGGCATCAGATCCTGTGAGACTAGAGTTGCATGTGGTAGTGAGCTGCTGTGTGGGTACTGGGAATTGAATCCATGTACTCTGGAAAAGCAGCTAGAGCTCTTAATGGCTAAGCCTCTTAACAATTCACTCCTTCTCTACAGACAATCAGTTGTTTAGACATATCTCTCTCTATTATCTATGATGTAAATCCCTTAAACCTTGACAATCAGAAAACAGTCGTGGGGGCCAATGTCAAGCCAGTTAAAAACCCTAGCATAGTTTGGCAGGCGAGATGGCTCAGCAGTTAGAAGCCTGTTCTGCCCCTGCAGAGGACCTGAACCTGATTCTGTCTAGATACTTTCCTATTGTTACGATAAGACACCATGACCAAGGCAGCTTATAAAAGAAAGGGTTTAATTGGAGCTTAGGGTTTGAAGGGTTGAAGTCTGTGATGGTGGAGCAAGAGCATGGCATACATACAGAAGAGCTTACATCTTGACCCACAAGTAGGAGGCAGAGGGAGACACTAGGAATGGTAGAGTCTTTGGAAACCTCAAAGCCCATCCTCCAACACTCCATAGTCCTTCCCAGGCAGTTCTATCAACTGGGGAACAAGTATTTAAACATATGAACCTATGAGAGTCATTCTCATTCAAACCCCCAGAGACAAGATCTTAGCACCCACATGGGGTGTTCACAACTCCCTGTAACTCCGGCTCCACGGGAATCTGAAGCTTCTGGTCTTTGCAGGCATCCGTGCTCACATGAACTGGCACCCACATACATACACATGATTTTTTTTTTTTTAATTCCAGCATGGAGGGGAATGGGCTCCCAAGGCCCCACCCCTAGCCGAGGAACTATTGGCAGTTAATGACTGCTATGGGAAGGAGTCACTTTTCTTCGAGTGGTGATCACTGACTGGTTGTTCATGCCCCTCAGTGTGTGAACCCACAGCCATTCACATAAGAGCAGCACTAATTGGACTCAGTGAGTTATTTAAAAAATCAATTAGAAGAGATAAGAGGACTTGTAACAGGAGGAGAGATAATGGGGAGGGGCAGCGGGGAAGTGGTGGGGTGAAAGGAGGGCAGACATGGACATCATCACCCTCCCTCCTGCCTTCTTTTCTAGCTGAACCCAAGGCCCACTTTCTTGATAAACAATGCTGGCCCTTGCTCTCTGTGTTTCCAGAATGTTCCATAAGCCCTCACGCTCTCCTCCACGACTTCCCACGCCTCAGTTCTATACTGCATGTTGCAATCTGAGGCAGAATGAGCCAGAACCCTTGTTGCTGGGCACATGGTCTGTGTGGGTGGGCAGTGAGTAAGGATATAGGTGGCCATGAACTTGAACCCTCAGTGGGGGGCAACAGGCATTACCCTGGCCTGAGAGGACTCCAGGATCACACGAGTCTGTTGCTCTGCTTGCTGAATTGTCTCATTCCGGCTCTGGAGGTCATCATGGAGTTCTTTCCACCGCCTCAAGTGATCTTCGTTCAGGTCGATCTGAGCCTGCAGCTCGCTAGTTTTGCTGTGCAGCTCCGCAATGTCCTGATCACGACTCAGGAGCTCTGTCTCCAACTCAGACACTTGCTGGGGGGAACCAGGAAGGACGGAGCATTAGCTGTGTAGCTGGAGCTGCTCCTGTGTGGGTCCTTACTTCTTCCCAAAAGATGGGAGCAATGCACCTCTGGTTCCTGCAACCCAGCCCAGCCACTGCCAGAGGACCCCAGTGTGGGTTGGGGAGGGGGTGTTGAGTGGGGTGCTGTCTAGATTAGGAGGCCCAACTCAACTGTGGAGGTGCTCCAGCCTTATCTTGTCCATCATGGTATCCCAACCCACAGGGATGGTAGCCCAGCCCAGCCTTCAGCGATACCCAGGCCATCACCTGTCGGAGGATGAGGTTTTCCTTCTCAATGAGCCCCATTATCCCCTGCTGCTTCTTTTCCTCCCGGAGGCTGGAGAACTGCAGGGCAGACAGTGGGGTCAGCGTGGGGCCCAGGCCCAGGGCAGATGGAGTACAGACATCTGACCTGACTCCAGGCCTCCCAGGAAGGAAAGGGCCCCAAAGACACAGTGGAAGATGGGAAGCAGAGCGTTGAGTGGCATCCAACATTGCAGATCCGAGAAAGTCAGATGCTCAGCTGTTCACAGGAAAACCAAAGACAGCACAGCTCAGTTTCCTAGAACAGTGGTCAGTGGCCAGCTGTTACCCAAAGTAAGAGCTGTGGACTCACGCTAGGCCCTGGCCTGCCAGCTGCCTGCCCTTTATCCACACTGGTAAAGACTAGTCAGTTTCAGGCCTGAAGATGCCACCCTCCCTTGCGTGCTGAGTGTGGACACTCTCAGCCTCCTGGCCCAGAACCAGAGCAAGAAACCTTTGCTTGTTACCCAAGACACTCTCGGCTCCCTAGCTTTCAAGGAAATTTGACTACCCCAAAGACCAGAGGAGATGTCTATGATGGAAACTCTCCAGGGGGCCACTCTGCTGGGGATCACAGTGTAGTTACCTGCATAGTCCAAGGTTCCAGGCAGCCCTGGGGCAACAAGTTTAACATGAATAATAGAGGCCAAGGGAGGCTCATCAGAAATGGAAGAGCAAGACATTGAAGCAGCAATGATACTGGGATCCCTGGGCAAGAAGGCAGAAGCAGGAGGATTGCCATGAATACCAGGCCACTGGGGTTCAGATCTGGACCTTGTCACAGACAACAACAACAAGCTCCAATTAATGCTGCCTTTGCAGAAAGAGGGGACAGTGCTCTTGTGAGGTAGAAAAAGGGGTGGCATTTGGGAAAAAAAAAAAAAGGAAAAGAGCCTTCAAAGCATAAATGGACATTTAAAACAGAAACTCCCAAGCCGAGTTGCTAATGGAACTGAGGAAACCTAAGAGATGGGGAGACAGAAAGTAAGAAGGAATGGCAGGTCACAACAAGAGGACCAATCCAAGACCCAGAGCTCCATAAGAGAAATTGGAAAGGAAGAATGTGTGTAAGAGCACTCGCTGCCCTTGCAGATGGCCAGAGTTGAGATCCCAGCACCATGTCAAGCAGCTCACTCCAGCCGACAGGATATCTGACACCCTCTTCTGGCCTCTGTGAGCACCTGCACTCATACCCACATACTCATCCAGATGCAGATGCACACATACACATAATCATCTAGATAAGAATGTGGTGGTCAGTCTAACTGTCAACTGAACACAACCTACACACCCGGGAAGAGGTTCTCCATGAAAGATTGTCTGGATCGTGTTGGTCTGTGGGGGAGTTGTCTTCTTAACTGATATGGGAAGGCTAAGCCTGAAAATGGGCAGTGCCATTCCATAGCTGGGGTCTGAGACTATGCAGGAGCGAGCAGACAAAGCTATCTGAGCATGATGCATACAGGCATTCACTTTCTCTCCTCTTGACTGAATTTTAGCTGCTTCTGGCTCCCGCCTTGACTTCATTGCTGTGGCAGACCTACCGCGGCCTGGAACGTGAGTGAAAGACCCTTTTGTCCCCTAAGCTGGCTTCTGTCAGGTTGCTTTGTCACGACAGCAGAAATAAAACTAGAACAAAGAAGTGAACAGCAGAGCAAACAACGGTTCTAGGACATGTGACACTTCGGAAGGCCACCAAGTGCCTGCCGTATCCTGTGAGGTGGTACTCCGCCAGGCAATAAGGCACAACTCTGTGAGGTCTCAGGACACCCTGGACAGAGACAGGCTCTCACAGCTTTCCAACAGACAATCTTCAAGACACAGGTGACCTCAGACTTCCCACCAGCAGGCCTGGAAGCTACAAAAACAATGTCTTCGTCTTCACAGCTTTTACAGTAAGGCGGGATAATGACTTCCAAATTGTGGTCAACCTGATGGCTATTAATGTGTAGAATCAAGGCATTTGCAGGTAGTTTGTGTCCCCAAAGCTTCGCAGAGAGACATCCTTTCTGGAGAAACCCCTAGAGATGTGCTACACAAAAACAGAAGGGCATCAGTCAAGAAAGAGAAGGATCATGACACGAATCTCAGGACTGTTTAGTGAACTCTTGTATGTTTCAAGTAACTGCTGGAATGATGTCAGCATGGTGTCAATGCCGCTGAAGGTGGGATAAGATGACATTACAAAGGGTGGGGAGAGAGCCTGCCCCGTGGAAGGCAGATGAGGACGTGGGGAAAGAGGAAATCATTCCGTGATGTCACAATGAAGATAACCCTATAAGGAGCATTATCTGATGTCATAATGGAGTTTCCTGAAGAGTTTGCTAGAAGACTTAGAAGCCATTGCCATGGGCTGGGGGATTATGAGAGGGAGGCACTTGTGGAGTAGCTTAGATAAAAATAAACCTTCCTACTGCATAACATATTCTGTCTCAGGCATTTGCTAACAGAAGTGTGGGTAAGCCCAGTAACTAAGCGGACTCTAAACATGGATAAATTTAGCCCAGGGATCAGGGACCAGCAAATGTTTAGGAAGTAACCAAGGTTACCATGGCACAGGACATAGGGACACAGACCGAAGGACAGTAGGGCTGTGGCTGTCCACAAAGTCTAGTAGGAATCTTGGCTCTGCTGCCACCAGCTGGTGCCCTGGGCTTGAACTCTTTGTTCCTAGGGAAAACCATGCTCTCTGAGCTGCTGGGACTACTGGGCCCTGCTGGCTTGGCACACTGAGCCAGGCTAGTGAGGGCTGCTGAGTGCACAGCCACCTTGTTGGTCATGGCTTGGATCTGCCGCTTCCGTTCACGGAGTTCCTTTTCCAGAAGCTCGTTTTCTGTGGTGACCTTCCGCAGTTGAGACTCTTGGAAGTCGTTTTGCCGTTGTAAAGATGTGATGGCTCCTAAGAGTAAGGCAGGAGGCAGGCAGAGCAAGAACTGTTAGCCCCAGGGTCTCAGTTGCTCCTCTGAATGCCCAGTCACCCTTCCTGATGCAACTCCTGGTGGAGAGGGACCCACAACTCCCGCCTCTCCTGCCCACCGGGCAAAGTCAGCAGAGCTGAGCACCCACACCCCATGGCATCAGCCCTTTGGTCCTTTCTACCTGTGGCCAGGGAATATCTGGCCCTAGTGAGTTCCAGCTCACTCTGGAAGTCCATCAACATTCGCTCATACTCCTCCAGCTGGGCCATTAGCTCCTCCTCAAAGGACTCGGTCAGAGAGTATGACCTCTTGGGACGCTGTTCCTCTTCCTCCTTCAGCTCCCACAATTCTTCCTCCTGTACCACCACCTCCTCTTCCTCATCCTCCTCAGCTCCTTCTGCTTCCTCCTCCTCCTCCTCCTCAGGGCCCTCTTCCAGCAAAGTCCCGATCTTGCCAGTTACAGCCTCCTCCAGGGGCCCCTCAGCGCCCTTTTCCTCCACGACATTTCCTACTTCCATCTGCAGCTCCCTGTTCTCTACCATGTTAAGGTCGTCCTGCATCCGGGCGGCAGGGAGAAAAGGGGCTGGCATTCACACAAATGTCCCCAGGTACAAGGTAGAGATACCAACTCTAGTAAGCATCCCAGTTCCTTTGTCTCCTCCTCCCAGGACCTGTGCTCTTGGTGGGGAGGGGGATCGAACTTATCCACTGGGCTCATCTGCACTTAGAGAGGGCCACCACAGATGAGGACTGTAGGCAGGGACGCTGTGGCCTCCCTCCTAGCACCCATCCTCCCCAGGAGGATCTGCAGAGTGACAGCCTGGGGCTTCAGCTTGTTCAACACCTGCATCCAGCGCTGCAGCTCCTCCTCTTCTTTGTATGCGGTCTTCAGCATGCTCAGCCTTCCCAGCTTCAGGGGAGCCTCAGAGGACCGTTCCTGTCAGATGCTGCTATGAACCTCAGGCTCTCCAAATGCTCCCATGGGAGCTCCAGGTGACATCCCCCCCTCCTCCCTCATCCTCCTGGAAGGGAATGTCATTCTCTCTAAGTGAGGATGGGTAACCACAGCAGAGGGCAAGAAAGCAGTACCATCCGGTAAAATAAAGCGATGGTCTGCAGATGAGCAGCCCTGGGGGACAACAGGGTTCTGGGCCCCACCAGACCAGCTTCCAGCTCCTTTGTAGTTCACTAGCTGCCCTGTCCTCTCATGCCTGCATAAGAGCCCTTGGGGGAATAGGGAGCAGAAGTCCCATTTGCTCTGCCTCAGGCATCTGTGTGGGCAGTTTCTCCCAAGGTACTCAGGCACTGCCCATGACCTCTCGACCTCCTTCCTGCTCTGACTTCATGTCTGCCCCAACATAAGTGCAGGCTGTGCCATCAGATATGAAAGACATCATGTCTTGGACCAATCAGGGGATCATTCCTGGCCATACGGACCTGCCTCACCCAGCCCTCTGCCAATACCTGAAAGGACAGAGGAAGCAGAGCCTGCAGCTCATGGGGACATCTCAGTCCTCCCATAGGCCACCTGTCAGAAGGCTCACCATCCTGGCGGAAGCTGAGGATGTTTCTGTGCCTCTGCTTCTGAGAAGGGTCCTCAGCTGCTTCTTCAGGGCTTCCTTCTCCTTTTGGAGCATCAAGATCTCCTGATCTTTCTTCTGCATCTGGGTCTCCAGCACCGAAAGACGCTGGAGTTTTTCTTCCAGTTGGATCAGGGAATGATCCTATGTGAAAACCAGAGACAGCTCCTGGGCCACTAGGCAAAGCCAATTGTCCCCAATATCCCCACCCCAGCCACCCAGAAGACAGGAGCTCCCAGACACTCAGCCCCTGGGACAAGCTGTGCATCTCTCTATTGCAGCCATGCCCCCAGCTTCTTATAACCTTTCCATCTGTCCTGGGAGCAGACCCTAAATCCCGTGCAAAGGCATTCAGGTCAGTGTCAGAGCCCAGTCAGCCTTCTCGCTGTAATTCGAGATATCTGTATTCTTAGTGGTCCCCACACTTAAGTGACAACATCACTCAAGAATAACCCCCAAGGGGCTTATCAGGTCCCTCAGCCTGCCTTCTCAAAAATCTCAACTCCATCTGTTCTTCAAAATCAGATGACAAATTACAGACATCTTCAGCAAGCAGTTCTTCACGAACAGATATGAACTCAAAGACTAAAGTAAGGTTTTCAGATAGGAGGAAAATGACCCAAACAGAAGTCTGGAAGGGAAGGTAACTAGAAATCTTTCAAATTATTTGAAATAACATTGTAGGCTTCTATGTAGCCTGTGGATTGAATAAGAAACCACTTGAGAAGTTAGAAAACATTATGAATGAACGAAATGGAATGTGGGGCCATCATAACACCTCGGATAAATCTAAAACTGTGATTAAAGCCAGCTTGTAGGGGAGTAAAGATGTCTCTGGTCAAGAATGAGCACTCCTCTTTTGAGACAAGGGTCTAATTATAGCTCTGGATGGCCTGAAACTCACTATGTAGACCAGGTTGGCCTCAAACACACAGACCTTCCTGCCTCTACTGAGATTAAAAGTTTACACCACCATGCCCAACTCAATACTGCTCTTGCAGAGGACCAGAGTTCAGTTCCGAGGACCCATGCAGGGCAGCTCATGACTATGTTTAATTTCAGCTCCAGGGTAGCCAACACCCTCATCTGGCCCTGGGGGTACCTGCACACACATGGAAGAAAGTCACACAGGGACACAGACAGACAGATACACACACACACACACACACACACACACACACACACACACACACACACACAAAATAAATAAATAAATAAATAAATAAATAAATAAATAAATTGCAGATTGCAGTGCTTATTGGGCAAAATATAAACTAATATAAACAGTCATCTTAGGTGCTGGAGAGCTAGCTCAGTGTTTAAGAGCATTTGCTGATCTTACAGAGGACTTGGGTTCGGTTCCCAGCACCCACATGGCAGCTCACAACTGTCTGTAACTCCAGTTCCAGGAGTTTGGCACCATTTTATCACTTCCACTAGCACTGAACACCCGTGGTGTACAGACTTACATGCAGACAAAACATCCATACACATGAAATAAAAAAAATAGACATCTCAAAAATTTAGAATTCAGAAAATAACCAAAAGTTGAGCCTCAAGAAAATAGAAACCAGGGAAAAGTGTGAGACACAAGAATTAATGAACTCCCAGTTTGATGACCTGAAACCAGGAAAAGTGTGAGAAATAAGAATTAATGACCTCCCCGCTTGATGATCTGGGCCTGTAATCCCAACTATTCATAAGGCTGAAGCAGGAGGGTCATAAATTCAAAGTCTGCCACCTGAGCTATTTAGTGAGATCCTTTCTGAAATTTTCACAAGAATAAAAAGAGAGCTAGGGACATCATTCAGTGGTAGAACACTTGCTCTATGGGTGAGGCCCTGGGCTCAAGCCCCAGTCCTGGGGGGAAATGTAAAAGAGTTTATATAGTGAGAGGGATGGAAAGGAGGAATGGGAGAAAGAGGAGATAAGAGTGAAGCAAGAGGGGGTGAGATGGCTCATGGACAAGAATGCATACTGCTCTTGCAGAAGATCTGAGTTTGGTTCCCAGCACTCACATCAGGAAGCTCACAACCACCTGTAACTCCATCTTCAGGGAATCTAATGCCCTCTTGTGGCCTCTGAAGGCACCTGCACATACCCACATACAGGTCCATCCACACACATGCATGAATTGAAAAACAAATCAAATCTAAGGAAGAAGCAAGTGGAGCTGGCAAGGTTGATATCTAGCTGTACAAGCATGAGGACCTGTGCTGTAAAATAATCCTTCCATACACTGTGAAGATGTTTTGCTCTCATTGTTAACAAAAAGTTGATTGGCTGTTGGCTAGGCAGGATTTTTGGGGCAGAGAATGCTGGGAAGAAGAAAGGCAGAGTCTCAGGAGTCGTGAGGAGCCATGGACCAAAGCAAAATTAACTTGACATGTTAAAAAAGGTACCACAACATGGCAGAGTATAGATAAGAAATATGGGTTAAATTAAAATGTAAGAGCTAGTTAGCAACAAGCCTGAGCTATCGGCCAAACATTTATAATTAATAGTAAGTCTCTGAGTGGTATTTGGGAGCTGGTGGCCCCAACAAAGAACTCCACCTACAAACCTAAGTTTGGGTTCCCACCTCCCTCATAGAAAGCCAGATGTGAGATCCTGTGCACCTGGAACCCTGGTGCTGGGTGGGGTACAAATGAAAGACCAGCTATGAGCCTTGCCAAAAACCAGCTAGCTCCAGGTTTGGTGAGAGACCCTGTTTCAAGGGAATAAGACAAGGGGCAACTGAAGAGGACAGCCAAGGTCCTCTTCCTACTCTCACAGGCATCCACATGGGTTCAGGTACCTGCACATGTCTACAAGCACAACACACACACACACACACACACACACACACACACACACACACACACACACACACACACACACACAGAGAGAGAGAGAGAGAGAGAGAGAGAGAGAGAGAAAGAGAGAGAGAGAGAGAGAGAGAGAGGAGCCAGCACGCAACATTGTAACATTGGAAAATGTGAAAGGGATGTGGGAATTATTTGTGTGACTATTACAATGTTTAACGTTCAAAATAAAAAGGCAAAGTGGGAAAACAACACCAGAGAATACATCTGTCTTACTGTTCTGACCACGGTGATTTTAGACATGTGCACATGTCTCCAAGTAGTCTGGGGACCACAGGGGGAAAAGCTAGCTCATTCCCTGCTGGGAACTGCTGAGATGGCACAGTGCAAGTTTGCTGGCTCTTGCCACTATATGAGAGGATCTATCTACGGCCTTTGAGAAGACACAAAGACACCCCTAATAATGCCATCTGAGCTCCTGGTGGAGCCAGGCCTGCTGCCATCCCTCGGTATGTGTGGGTAAGTAATGACAATATGGTGGTGAACACCTTTGCCAGCATAGCAGAGGTGGAAGTGCTGGGTCAAAGGACAGACACACTTTTGAGCTCCCGGACACATCACCATATAGTGTCAGCAGCACACATATACCAGCTGTCAAGGACCCATCCTTGCTGGGACTTGCAGAACTTCGTTTGCTTCTGTCCAATTGTGTTCTTCCTTGTGCATTCAATAACTGTTCAGAGTTTCCCTTAAAGCCCTACTGGCTTTTAAAAAAGCATGAGAGCTGGGGAGATGCTCAGTCAGGAAAGTACTTGCTGTGCATGTAAAATAGGTGTTGAGGCTCGGGAGATGTCTTCATGGTTAAGAGCATTGGCTGTTTTTCCAGAGGACCAGGATTTTATTTCCATCACCCACATGATAGCTCACAACCCTCTGTAACTCCAGTTCCAGGGGATCTGGTGCCCTCCCCAGACTCCATAGGCACCATACACACATAGAACATAGACATACATAGGTAAAACACTCATACACATGAATAATTTATTTAAAAAGATGATACGAATAAAATCAAAATGAAAAACTGTCTCACTCTATTAAAGCCAATAATTTAAAGTTAACTCAACATAAAAAAAGTTAGAAGTGGGGGCACACGTATATCCTAGCACTGGAATGATGGACATGGGCAGATCCTTGGGGCCAGCCTCATCTAATCAGTGAGATCCAGGTCAGTGAGAGATCCTGTCTCAAAAGACAAGGAAGACAGCACTCCCAGAACAACATCCAAGGTTGACCTTTGTCCTTTACACACACATGCACACATGTGCATGAACACATGAATTCATGACATAGAAATCGTAAGCATACACTTGAGAAAGTCAGCACAACCTAGAGCGAACACTGAGAGAAGGCCTAGCACAGAGAAAGCAGCCCATCAAAAAGAGACACAACAGGAGTCAGGGACATCGGGAATGAAGGGGCTGCTCCTGCAGGAGCCACAGGCAGTGATGGTGTGGCTCCCTTCTGCTGCAGGAAACTTCCTAAATGCATGTTAACTGAAGGAAGAAGAAAAGAGGAAACACCTACCTTGTGAGGAAATGAAACCTGTGATTTATTAAAACTTATCTGTTTTGTAAGCATGGAATCCCAACTCAGTTGAGAGGCTGAGGCAGGAGGATTGTCAATTCAAGGTCTTCCTGGGCTGTAGAGTGAGTTCAAAGCCATCCTGAGCAAATCAGTGAGACTCTGTCTCAAAATAAAAAAAATAGAAGGTTTGGGGCTATAAGCACATGAAAGATCCAGGATTTGAGCCCCAGAAAGCAGAATGGTGCAACAGGTGGATTGAAAAACAAGTCTTCAGAATTTGGGGAACAGCGACACCCTAGAATCTCCCAAAGCTTAGATGAAGAGCTTCTGAATTTTTTAAAAAAAGGTCAGAATAACCTGAATGCCAAATTTCAACAGAATTCTAAGACAAGTGAGTTGTGCACTCAAGTCTCACAAGCATCAATTTATTATTTTTGTTTTTTAAAGAAAGAATCCCACCAGGATGTGCTAGCTCATACATAAATCTCTGGGCATTTGCTGACCTCTAACTCAGATTGTTAGAACCTACTCTTACAGAGAATTCTGGGCTAAGGGTGTACCGAATGGTTGATGGCCACACACACAAGTTTTATGCCGGCTTAAAGTGCCATTCACCAGGAAAAGGAAGGAGGCAGGTCAGGTGAATCATTGGATTCCTAGTAGCCAAAGTAGGGTGTCCAGATGTCATTTTAGGCTACAGTTAGCCAGACTGTAGAACAGCAGTCCCCTGTGGGGTGGGCAGGATGCAGGGCCAGGCGTGGAACCCTACCTTCTCATGGATGACTGAGATGTACCAGGGCATTCTGGTTCTTTGGGACCTCTTGACCAAGGTTGGGCTGGTGGGACTTGTGGCTGGGGGCTCACTCTTCTTCCGTGAGTAGTTGAGCTCACAAGCACTCTTGCTGAGTGAAAAGAGGTGCCCTGTGGAGAAGCAGAGGCCAGAGGGCAGCTGGATTCTTCCCTGGGGATGCGCTGTAGGATCTTCCACGACACTATCCGTACCTTCCCTCAGAGGCCAGCGTCTGTCCAGTGATCTATCTCCCACTGCCAAACTAAAATCTTAAAGTTTTTCTGTCTCCTCGACCAGAAGCCTATGTATAGCCCTTGAAACCGCCACATCTGCCCACACCCACCTGGAATGTACTGAGGAAAGTGGCCGAGCATCAAGGACCCATCCAAATCCCAGGGTGGAGGAATGAGAGCCCGAGAGTCAGGACAGGAAGCCATCTGCTACTGTCCTTGTTGATCCCATGACCCAGCCCTCTTGCACCCTAGAGTCTCACTTTAGATTTTGGGGTTCTTCACCTTCTTAATCCTGGAGGGAGTTGTTCACTACAGGCATTATCTGAAATTATGTTTATCTCACCTTCTGGCAAATGAAAGCTTATTTCTCTATTCAAGTAGGTGGTACCCAGGGGGCTGGAAGTAAAGAGCACAGAGAAGGTAGAGGACACAGATTTCAGCCAAAGACATTGTCTTCCATCAATGAGAGCAGAGTTCTGGGTAACCTGTGTCTCAGAGTTTTTGAGAGGCAGGCAATCCTAGGAATAGTTCCATAAGGGCACATCAGGCATCCCTGGGGAGCACCTTTATTGCTCAGGGCCCCAGCAGATGAAGGCAGAGGCCTCCAGGATCCCCTTACCATCCACACTGGTGGCAGAGCCCAGCCTGTCCAGGGGCTGGTCCTCAGTCATCCTCCAAGTCCCAGAGCTGGTACATGTGTCCCTGGGCAGATCAACCGTGGTGGCAGAACCTGGAATGTGCAAGGTGCCAGGAAGTGTGACAAAAAGTCCCCCTGTCCCAGGATCTCTAGGGTCAAGGTTGTCACATTATCTTTAAACATGAGGCCAGGAACAAATGAGTCTTCCTGATGGAGGCATGGGACTGAACCCTGGGCTCCACCAAAACACAGGCTCTGTCTTTTTACCCATCTGATCACAGTGTATCATCTGAGCAGACTGATGGTGGTACCTGTGAGAGAATGCAGATACAGACCCTGCAGCCTAGACTCTGTGGCCCCTCAACCCACCCTCCAGCAATCCCACAGTTCCCTGGGGAGTGGAGCATGTGCCTGGCTATTGCTGAACTTCACAGACAAGTCCCCAAGCTGGTATTGGGGACATGGGACAAAAGCAGGTCAGGGATCCAAGAGGTTGGGATGTAGCCTTGACTCTGAATGATGTTTCCCTGGTTGGCTACCAAGTGCACTCCTGTGCTTCAGCAAAACAAGGAGGAGCAAGACAGAAGGCTTCTCGGACTCCTTGGGGTGTTCGCTCCCACTGAGGTGTCTGTAGACTTAAGAGCCTCTTCACAGAAGCTTCTGGAAGTTCCAACCCTCTCCTCTCCCACCCCAACACTTTAACAGTGGAACAAGAAGGAAACAATCATGAGGATGAGGAGGCTGCCATCTTGCTTCTATCCTTTATGGTTGGCCCTCCCCCAGCCTCAGCACAGGTCTCACAAAAACTCTGTGCTCCCACAGAGAATTTCAGACACATGAGCAGTGGCTGCCTACAGCCTGAAGGGTTCCAGGAGGTAGCAGGTTGCTCCAGTCACCCTTGGTGGTTTGGGGGATGGTGGTCTTACCCATATGAGACACAGATGTGGCTCTGGTACTGAACTGGGGGCATCCAGGCCGCATGAGAAAGGCCTTCCTCATTTCTTCCATTTCAGACACAAAGCCATTAGGGCTAGTGAGCTTCTTAAGCTGGCTCTGGCAGGAGAAAGAGTGAGACCAGATGCTTAGGCTGTGCCTTCAGGATGGCTGCAGGGGTGCTGTCTATGCTGTCACTGGTGGCAAGGGCCACCCCTTCCCTGGCCAACTGGAAAGCATCCCAGAAAGCCCCGCCTTAGAGATGACCCTTGGCTGGGTTTTCAGCACCTAACTAGGAAGTCAGTGAGCCTGCCACTGCCATCCCTGACTCCCCTGGTGCATGGAGGGTGCAGGTGATCTTTCCATCTGGACTTCCCTTCCTTGGGTCTTTCTCTCATTTTCACCTTCCTCTCTGACACTCAGGACAGACAGGATTTCTTTGCTCAGGGTTTGGAGTTGACTTCCTCCTTTGGGCTTGGCTGACGAGACCAAGCAGGAGCCAAGATCTGCAGAGGGGGAAGTCAACTACTCCACATAGCTATCTCCCCAGGAAAGCCTAGGGCCTCTGGGAAGGAGGTAATAAGTCTTTCAAGAAGTTGGGCAAGGCCAGCCCAGGGCTCTGCCCCACCAGAAGCTGCAGTCCTCAGGCCTCCTGGGCTCTGTGTGGCAGATTGCCAATAAGCATGTACCAAGCTCTGCTGACTGACAGCTCCCATGGTCCTTCAGGAAGAGAGAGGAGTGGCTAGCTCCATGGTGGCCAAGCTGGGAAGTTAGAGATACTGCACCCAGCCCCATACCACTTTGCGGTAGTAGCGGCCAACGGCCTGGGCTGACTTGCTGGGTCTATGACGGTCTTGCAGCTTCTTCTCTGGCCCATGGGAGCCCCGGTTGGCCACACTCTGAAGCAGCACCATGCCGTTGCTGATCTGGGGGGATGGCAAGCTGAGTTCATCAGGGAAGTTCTCCTTCTTCATTGAGAAGACAGAACCAGAGACAGAAGGTCAGCCTGAACGACCACACAGGCCTGCTGCTCCTGTGCACAGTGCCAGTTATGGAGGGGAAGTCAACCTTAGCTTGAACCTTCAAAGGTGTCCAAGCCAGAAAAGACAAGCTTCCAATGCTCCTGTCCTACAGGCTCCTGGTAGCAGTGTGTGTCATCACAGATGTCTCCATAGAAACAGGGCATGGTCATAGTCTCCTCAATTTTCTGCAATTATATAAAGGAGCTGGGGAGCAGACCCAAGCATTGTTAGCACCAAATCTTGGGATGTCACAAGAGTAAGAGAAATAGTCTGACCTCAGAGGCCGGGAATCCTCCTCTCTCATTTTTGTTGGGTGCAGTAGTACTTTTATTTTATTGGCACATGTTCACAGTACATATTGACAGAACATTTCATTCCAGGATATCACATACTTTAACCACATCATGAGAAACAACAATCCTTCTTCATAATAAGAGCACTGGAGACTCAGAGTACTGAAATCAACAGGGCTTATTTGAGCATCTTGCAAAGATGAGCATCAGTCTAGACTGACTGACATGAGCCTTCCTCCCTTTGTGTAATCAGGGGGTTTCAACTGTACACGTCATCCACTCTTTTCTCTTTTCAGGGTCCTTGTCATTTATTTGTTCCTCTAAAGACTTAGTTTTTACTGGACCCAGACCTAGTTCTCCCAGCAAGGACCGCCTACATCTCCTGGCATTCTGCTCCTGATGGTTTTCTTTGTCTTCATTCTCTTGCCCCAAAAGTTTAGCGTATTCCGCAGCTTCTTCCTTGTGTTTCCCAGAGCAATACGTCGGTGTTCATGTTGCAGGACAAAGGAAAGAACAAGACACTGAATCTTGAGCACTTGGGTCCTGGGCTTCTCACCTTCTTTGTTTAAGGTCTTTCTGACAACACATTGGCAGACATCATCTCCTTTAGAGAGACTGAAAAGCTTTCGGGCTCTGCTAGCTCTTTTAGGTCCCAACTGATGAGGCACAGTAGTATCTGTCAGTCCAGGAATTTCCTTCTTTACTTTTTTTTTTTTAATATTTATTTATTTATTATGTATACAGTGTTCTGCCTGCATGTATCCCTGCAGGCCAGAAGAGGGCACCAGATCTCATTACAGATGGTTGTGAGCCACCATGTGACTGCTGGGAGTTGAACTCAGGACCTCTGGAAGAGCAGTCAGTGCTCTTAACCTCTGAGCCATCTCTCCAGCCCCCCCCTTTTTTTTTTACAATAACCAAGTTGAGAGCACTCAGATTGGCGCCCACAATGTATATGGGAACAGACTCCCTTCCTCTTTCCAGCTCTCTTTGGTCTATAACAAGAATGTCCCTCTCTCAACAGTAGGTGCACTCTGCCGTGGGTCCAAATGCCTTGCTTCATGGGAAAACCCTGTTTGTCATTCCCACCACTGATTCGAACCGCACGACCCTTCCACTCTTCACCTAAAGCACCCACAGCTACTTCTGTGGCCATGAACTTCTCATAGATCATACAAAGCTTGCCTTCAGCATCCACTGCAGTGAGTTTCTGACAGCCAGTGGCAGACTGCCTAGGAGGTGTCATGAAAAGGAGGCCTGACCTCCACTTAGCCCAGGTCATTCTCTGCTACTTGTCTTTTCCTCAACCAAACCTGTGCACATGTTCATGTCTACATCTTACAGCCTGTTTGTGGTCAAATGTAACCAGACGGGCAAGAAAGCTTGGCTGTGAGTAATGTTCTACTCTAAACTTCTAGTCTGGCAGATGTAGCCTAGCAGTTTGGGAGGCAGTAGCTAGACCAGCAGGAATTAGCGGGAGTCTGGTGGTTTTGATCGTTTGTCGCTGGACCGAAGCTGATTTAAGGCACCTTTGAAAATGAACTGTCAGATTTTTTCTTCTTTAATTTTTAAAAATGTGTGTGAGTGTTTTGCCTACATATATGTTTGTGCATATACATCATGCCTGATACCCATGGAGGTCAGAAGTGAGTGTGACATCCCCTGGAGCTGGAGTTACAGGTGGTTATGAGCTGCCATGTGGGTGCTGAGAATCGAACCTGGGTCCTCTGCAAGAGTAATTAGTATGTTTAACCTCTGAACCATTCCTCCAGTCCCCAGATTTTATTTCTAACAGTTTTCAGCCCCGTGCCTCGCTTTCCTCACCTCCCTCCGGCAAGTCCTCTCCTTTACACAGACAGTCTCTCTTCTTTCTTTCCATGTGTACATATAAATGACTTTATGGATCTATACATAAAGTCCACTATCCACACATGAGAGAAAACATGAGCTATTTGGCTTTCTGAGAGCAGTGGCCAATCTGGACTATCTGGGCTTGACTACAATCAGAATCAGCTAACCCCCAAGCAGCAGGACTTGCCTGTTAGGGGTTTTCTGTATTGGATACTCAGAGGTAGAATGACCCATCCTAAATCTGGGCCACTCCTTCTGATGGCAACCACAATCCCACATGAAAGGACATGAAAGAAGCAAGTTTTACTTTCTGCCTGCTTGCCCTTGCTCTCACTGGCAAGTCTATGTATCCTGTTGCTAAGGCATCCCTCTGCTGGTCTATGCATCCTGTTGCTAAGATATCCCTTTGCTGGGTTAGAACTCACTTCTTCTGTGGGTTCCCAACACTGACTGAGACCAACAGCTCTCTAGGACTCCACCAGACTGGGACTGCTGAGACACCCAGCCTCATGGACTGAACAACTACTGGATCCTTGGCCTTTCTGTTGGAAAACAGTCATTGTTGAACTACCTGGACCACTGCCTGTAAGTCATTCTTATAAATCGTATGTGTAGACACACACACACATACACACACACACACACACACACACACACACACACACACACACACACCCCACACACATACACACACATAATGAGTCTTGTTTCATTAGACTTATGTAATGAGTCTGGTTTGTTTCACTTAATATGAATTTCAAGGAGTCTCACTCTAGCCCAGACTAGCCCAGAACTTGCTATGTAGCACAGGCTGGTCTGGCACTCACAATGATCCTTCTGCCTTCTAAGCACTGGGATGAAGTCATGTGCCACCTAGTGTGTGTGTGCATTCTTTTTAAAGAGTTTCTTCATTCGTTTTTCACACTGTTTGAAATCTGACACTACCTTGGTGTTTGTAATTAAAATGTCAATATCTTGGTACAAATCCACAGTTTAAAGGCATAAACTTAAACTTCTTAATAGTGCACATACAACTCAAAAAATAGGAGTTGAGGTGGCAGGGGCAACCTCTTCCAGAGAAGGGCTTATTCTTGTTGTTGGTTGTTGCTGTGCTAAAAGCACACACATGTAAAACGGCTCTTCAGAAGCGTCTTGGCTATGAACCAGCAGCGGCACTTCCTTCACCTCATGGCACAGCTGTCCCCACTGGCTTTCACCACACCGTGGGTGTGCAGGTAAGCTTCACCATGGTTAGGATCTGTGGTTCCAACAACGAGTCATGTTAGACATATCCATGTACTCACTGGCCATTTCTACAACTTTTTTTAAAATGCCATTTAAGTTATTTACTGATTTTTTTTAAACTGGGGGATTGGTTTCAGGAAATATTATATATTCTAGATGCTAATCCCTTATCAGAGATTATGTATTCTGCATACTGATCCCTTATCAGACATGATGTATTTGGGGTAAGATCCCTTGTCATCTATGCTTTCTGACACTGAGCCCTTCTCAGATATGATGTTTTCTATGCCCTCCTCTCTTAACAGATAGGTATGTTTTCTGCACCCTGAGCCCTTGTCAGATGTGACCTGTAGTTAATTATGTTGTGTCATGAGGAATACCTTACAGTGTCACTCTGAATCATCACACAAATTGAAGGAAATCCAATCCTGATCATCAGTTTCTTCCCCATTTCCTCCTTGTTTACTATCAATCTCGGTGTTTGGGCTCCAAGCCCAGGCTGGAGTCAGCCTCCAGTCCCACCCACTGCCTTCCCAGGTGTCAGGTGCAGACTTTGTGAGTAAGGACCTTTTGGAAGTGATTGTCATCACTGTCAGTGCCTCTGAGACTGGGACACAGGAGCTCATGCTGCCTGGCACCACAGTTGTCAATGAGCAGAAGCAAGAATTGAATGTCTGTGTTGTTCAGATGGCTGGCAATCTGAGAAAACAGCAGGCTGACCCCCCAAAAGCTACCTTGCCCCCTCTGTCTCCAACTGGCTGTTTTATAGAAAGTAAAACAAGGACAGCTGATCATGGGAGCTCAAGCTTGTCCCTTTGGTCAGATGACTGCCTCACTGCTGCACTTTGTGACATGTCTCCCTTGTCACCACCCTCTGGATATCTGACAGTATTGACTGTTCGACTTCCCCAGACACCACCTGGGTTGAAGGGTTAACTCAGAACACATTCACAGCATGTACATGAAGGTTCCTTCTTATAGGATGTATATTAGGGTTCTCTAGAAGAACAGAACTGATAATCCCAGCACTTAGAAGACTGAGGCTGGAGGATTGCCTCAAGTTTGAAGCTGCCCTGGCCTACACAGTGAATTCTGGGCCAGGCATGGCTACAGAGTAAGACCCTGGTTCAAAAAAAAAAAAAACAGCAGAGGGCTGTGGAGGTAGTTCAGTGAGTTACAGGCTTGTCTCACAAGCACAGGGTCCTGGGTTTGACCCCCAGAACCCACTTTTTGAAAAAGTCAAGCATGAAGCACACATCATAGTCCCAGGTGGAGACAGGTGGACCCCTGGAGCTCAAAAGCCAGGCAGCCTACTTGGCAAGTTCTCCACACACGTGTACACACACACACACACACACACACACACACACACACACACACACACATACCCCTCAACAGCAAAAAATCCACTTCATTCATTGATGTCCGTTTTACATCTTGGGCCTTGAAGTCTATCTCGTTGGGCATGTTTGCAGTTAGTCTGCCCGTCCACTCATTCATAACTTGTCCCTTTATGTTTAAAGTGCACATCACAGGGCGGAAACCCTGTTTCAGTGATGAAAA